AAGGAAGGTTGGGCAATCCTACTTCCGTAGTGATACTGCCTCGGAAACCCAAGGAGGGGTCGCTATGAGTCGGGGCCGACTCGACGGCACATAACAACAACAACAACTCCCTCTACATGGATTTTTCCTTAAGCCTGAACAAACGGGATGGGGGCAGGGTTCTGCCCACCTGGACCTTGTCCCTCAGTTAGGAGCTGGGGGCGGAGTGGAAGGAGTGGGAAGGGCATCCGAGGTCCAGGGGACAGCTGGAGCCCAGCCTGGAGGTGGGTGTTCAGCCCTGGTGTTATGGAACCTTCTTGCTTTCCTTCCAGTTTCCATCTCCTTCTTGTCCCCGTGATCAGCTGCCCTCTGTCCTCTTCCCAGATCCAAACGACCTTCCTTCCTTCCGCAGCAAGACACCCTCCCCACACACACACACCTCTCCTGTTTGCCTGGGGCCTCCAGGCCTCCTCTCTAAACTCCTTTGCTTCCTGAGATAATGGCCTCATTCTGAGATTTGTAGGTCTTATTTGCATGAAATAGCAGTGCCACCTCCCCTCCCTAGACCTGGGGAGTCCCCCAGAGAAGCCTGGTCCCCACATTATTTGCATATGAACCTTCTTTCTTGGGCCCTATCCAGGTAGGGTCTCTGTGAAATCTGTTCTCCTTATTTTGTTCTTGAGGGAGTTGTCAGTTTTGAGAAGATGCCCAGAGGGATGTAACGAACACCATACCACCATGGAGACCTTAGAGGGACATTGGTGGGGCACAGCCTGTGTGCACTGGGGTGAGCGGAGCCCTCCAGCCGCTGCTAGGTGGTCTCCTTAGTGCTTATCATGAACTGTCCGAGGACAGCTGCTAACTGCTTCCATTGGTATTGTCCCACTTACCAGACCCAAAACAGGGCTCCTAGAGGCTTCTCTACACGGTTCAAATGGTTAGGAAAACACAGTGCCTAAGGCACTTGACTGCTAACCAGAAGGGTGGTGGTTCAAACCCACTCGCCACTGCTCAGAAGGAAAGTTGGGCAATCTACTTCCATAGTGATACTGCCTCGGAAACCCAAGGAGAGGTCGCTATGAGTTGGCTCCGACTTGACGGCACATAACAACAACAACACTGCAAGAAGAGGCAGTCCCTATTTAAAAATGTTGTTGTTGTTATGTGCTGTTGAGTAAATGTGGTAAAACAGACATAACATAAAATTTACCATCTCAACCATTTTAAGGAGCTCTGATGGCACAGTGATTAAGCACTTGGCTGTAACCTTTGCTGCTAACTGAGAGGTCAGTGGTTTGAACCCACCAACTGTTCTGCGGGGGACAGATGTGGCAGTCAGCTTCTGTAAAGATTAACACCTTGGAAACACTATGGAGTAATTGTACTGTCTTATAGGGCTGCTGTGAATTGGAATCAATTTGGTAGCATCAGGTTTGGGTCGTTATTTTTTTGTTGTTGTTTTTGTTTTTGCAGGGGGTGGTAGGGAGAGGTGCATCAGAGAAAGGAGGCTGATCCAAGCAGGAATGTTTCAGAGGTGATGCTGGAACTTCCTGATGTTGAGTTAGGAGAATAGTGTGTGGCCTGAGTGGCTGACACCAAGTTGCGGGTTTTCTCTCTGATTTGACTCCTCCTTGAGGCAGGACAGTGACAACCACAGTGTGAGCCACATAGGTTATTTTACATTTTCTAAGAGCTCTATAGAAGAAACCCTGATGACACAGTGGTCACATGCCTGGCTGTTAACCTAAAGGTTGGCAGTTCAAACCTACCAGCCAGTCCACAGGAGAAAGATATGGCAGTCTGCTTCTGTAAAGGTGACGGCTGTGGAAACTTTATCATGCAGTTCTACTCTGTCCCATAGGGTCACTGTGAGTTAGAAGTGACTCAGTGGCTATGGGTTTGGGTTTTTGTTTGTTAAAAGCCATATTACAAAGTTTTTTAACAGATGAGATTAACTTTGATAATATTCTACTTAACCTAATATATCCAAAATACTATTTAGACTTATAATCAATATAAATAATTGAGATATTTTACACTTTTTTTTAAAGATATTTTAAAAGAAAATTTAAATCTTTGGAATTTGGTCTATATTTACACTTACAGCACATCTCGATTCACACTTAAATTTTCTTTGAAAATAACCACAAGTTCCAATTCTTTACAGAAGCTGACTGCCACATGTTTCTCCCACAGAGCAGCAGGTGGGCCTCAGACCTTTTGGTTCACAGCTGAGTACTTTAACCACTGTACCACCAGAGCATCTGGTCTGTATTTAGGCTTCATAAACTTTCCAGCTGAAAAAGTAGGCTTGAAGCTTAATCTGTCTGCCTTGACTCCAGCCCCTGTTCTTTTGGAACCTAAGTTGTTCAGCATACTGAAAAGATTTCTAATAACTGAATTAAATTATCTGTCTTTCAGTTCTTTAAAACAAAATAAAACTTTAAATTCTGTTCCTTGGTAGCACTAGCCACGTGGTGAGTACTTAATATTAATAGCCACATAAGAAGCCCTGGTGGCTGACTGGGTAAGCACTCAGCTGCTAACCAAAAGGCTGGCGGCTTGAACCCACCAACGGGAGAAAGATGTGGCAGTCTGCTTCCATGAAGATGTGTTGTTGTTGTT